TGCCCAATCGAAACGCTTGAACGACTCTTTTCATTATTACGAATTCAAGTCAATATAATTCCTGTCCGTAATCACGGACCAACTCAGGTCCAGGCATTTCCATGCTAGGTCTACGTGGAAATGTGAAGAAAGGCATCTATTTCAGGTATGCTTTGAGAATAAGCCAGGTCGTCATTGCGTACGTTTCTTTCCCTGCGGTCATTCGTTTTGCAAAGACTGCGTAAGGGCTTTTTTCAAGGAGAAGCTCACATCTCAGAAGGCAAGCGGTTTGTTAATGTACTATTTCCAGTTTATCGATCTATCGGTCGTCTCCTTTATTTTTTGTGATTGTTTCTGAGAATTCTCAACCATACCTTGAAAACAGTTGAAATAGCGCGGTCAGATTTCCCAAAGGGTGGGAATCTTCGATTACCAGAGCGTGTATGTCACGGCAATGTGTTCGGCCCCACGCTCATAGGTTGGCCTCAAACGAGTTCGAAACACAAGTTCGTGCGGCATGGTATAGGGACCATGCAACAACAATGGGGCGAGGAGTTCATCAACGCGGGCCCGCTCGTTTGACCGTCTGGCGTAGCGTTCAGACGTCGCGACAAGGCGCGTCGACGCGCTACCACTGCAGTGGCGCTCCGACGCTATACACGAGGACGCAGCCGCTGACGGGTCTCGGTCGGCGTTGCTCGCTTGCCTTTAGAGAGTATGGGTAGCAAGAGGGTGCTGCCTTGGCACAGCTTGGCACCCTCCTGTTGTCCTATACTCTCTTGAAACGCAAGCTGTCGACACCAATCGATAGACGTGTGTAGCTGAGTTCCCATATACATACAACTTTGGAGTAGTGTCGCTTCGACGCGCGTCATCGCAAAGTCTTAAGTCTTAAGCGTGAATGTGATGCTTTATTAGAGTAACGCTGTCTGGCCGCAAATATGACTTGATTACAACGAAGCGGTAGAGACAAGATCGCAAAAATTAGTTGGAACTATAGTGGAATGGTCGCATTGGATTACTAGTGAGATCGGCTAGGTGAAGTAATTGTGGCAGCTATTAGTGTAACGGGGCACTCACTATGTGGCTTACTGGTCTTCTAGCGATCTCGCTCATCTATTTACTCTCTCCCGGCCTTCGTTGTCTGGTTCCTCTTCCGAGTGCTCAGTGTTTCTCCATGGTGTGCTGATAACGTGTGCTCAGTGTTAGCTAAAATGTCTTTGATAGCCTTACTGTTGCGTCTTTTACAGTTTCTTTTTCCTCTTTCTCTTTGACGAATCATGCTTCAATTCATACACTTTGAACTGACCATGAAAGGAAGCAAAATGTTTTATTACAGATTTCACCGCTGACCTGCCTTGCCGATAGTTGTGAGTCAAGTGCTGCGCAAAGTGTTATCATTGAGCTACTCGGTCAGGTATGTTTTCCATCCTGGCCAGTCCGATACGCTGTATCAGAAAGTATCTCCTGCAAGATGAAGAGGCCTTGAATGACGTGTATTGGGAGCACGCCATAAGCAACTCCTTCCATCAATTTTTCGAAATTTTTGTGGTTCGAATGTCATTGTGGAAAGAGCGCTCTTGTGGCTGTGTTCCTAATCAACCCCGCCTTGCACGCGCCCTCTTCGCTCCCGTATACTAGCGTGTTAACTACAAAAGGAGCATTAAAATTTGCTATTTTAAGAAGGTTAAGAAGGAATTTGATCGCTATGAGGGAATTCTGTTGAAGAAAGCCCTTGAGAGAATGGACGATTTGGTGACGTGCCCGAAAATCGGTTGCCAGAAACCATCCATGCTCAGTGAGACGTGGGTATCTGCATTTCTTCCGGTTTTTGCTATCTATAATGTAGCTTTTGCTTTCGAGTACATCGGGGGGGGTCTTCAAAACCGCTGAATGTGCAGAGATCGTAGGTGTGCCTTTATAGCCCTTTACCACTTTTGATTTGTGTATCCTCTTCCTATTGAGAAGGTGGAAGCCATGGAAGTGCCCAGCAACCTTAGAGGCATAGGAAACGATAATTTGGTATCTGCTCAAAAATAGTAGCAAAAGTGCTTCATTAAGGGAAAATGATGATAATGCGAAGCTCAACGACTGAAAACCGAAAAACCTTGTTCTGCATGGCACTGAACGAGCATTTTTTTGACGAGTTTCCCGTTGGCATCGTGCCAACAATCGCTTTGGTAGCTACGACTGCCCGTACGTATTCGTACATGCATGTGACATTTCGTATCAGTTATATTCGATAGGGCTCTATAAGGGTACCTTCTTTGGGAAGCCGCCTTGCGGCCCTGCTCGGGGTCCTCCGAATTCTGTCCTGCCAGGCGTCTTCAACCTACACGCCTTGTGGATTGATCGTGCCACTTGCCTTTAAAAGCACAGTTCATGATGATCATTTGGGCGGAGTTGCTTCTTTCCCTTGTTCTTTCCTCCTTCTCAGAGCATCCCTCGTTTGTTACCTGTGAAAAGGAAGGATTCTTCCCTAAAGAAAACGGCCATATAAGGTCAGACTCCGCCCATATGTTCAGCGTGGTCTGTACTTTTAAAGGCTTCTGCCAACTGTTCCTGGGTTTTACTGGGCGATCGTCTTGCGTTCCTTTGTTCCTTTTGCGAAAGCTGGTCATTCCTTTAATCTGGGAACGCCAGCAAAAATTCTGTCCCCTCTTCTCACCCTAACCTTCGAATTTCGTCCGGAGATGCCTTGAGCATTCTCCATGTGCTATAATCCTTTTGAAATCTAAATTCTAGGCCATACTTGCAACGTGTTTTGGTGTTGGTTACAACTTTTTGCACCGCTTGCTTACCTATCTGTATCCATGTGGCATCCTGTTTATGGTACATGGGGTCTGAGAGAAGTGACACTGGACGAGTATCTCCCAGCATCACAAGAAGATCGAATGAAAATGGCGGCGTGGTACGGTGGAATTGAGAAGCTGGAGGTATGTCGTGAGGTAGTTACTCGTAGTTGTAGACTTCTAGTTAGCGGTAAGCTGAAAACGCCGCCCGTAAACCGAACATATCCTCGAGTCAGGGTGCAATATCGTCGGGGGAGAATGTCGTCGGGTGGGGGAGGGGGTCGTAACTGGTTGGGAGAGGAAGGTCATAATCTTGGCTCTTGGAAATTCTTTTGATTGATGCTTTTGCCGAATGCAGAGCCGCGCGGATTCACTTAGACCGTATGGAGTATACGCCTCGGCGTGCGAGGCGGGGCGGAAAGGGCTGGCGGGACTGGAGGCACTTGTGCGATGTTGATCGGTGCACGGTCCGGAAGGGGGCAGGCGGGGCATCGCGTTCGTATGTGGCATGATAGGCAATTTTTTCGAAATGCCGATACTTTTTTGGCGAGAAATTCTTAAATCGTAAAAGGCCAGAGAATGTAGAAGCTGGGAAAAACAACTGAACAAGCCGGAAGAAAATCGGGAAAGGAGGCGCACTAGAGAGAAGAGTTCAAGCGGCGTGGGGGGGGGGGGGAGGCGGCTGGTGTCGGGGCATCAATATAGCCATTTACACATCACGACGCCGTACCCCTGCGGCCTGAAGCAGCAATTTTCAGAGGTGCCGCCAATGCATCCGCCAATCATTTTTAACGACCCCCTCCTAACTGTCGCATACAGAGTGTACGAAACAGGAATAAGTGGTCACAAATACGGAGGAAAGTCTCGAACATGCTCTGTCTTAACGGGACTTTTGACCACGCCCTAGTCCATTACCTTGCGAAATTTTCGGGGCAGGTGGCGCCCCAACCCGCTCTAACTGAAGTGGTATTTACAATGTACTTCTGACTATTCACATTACTTTTTCATTCTAACAAAGTGCTTTTAATCCTCTTATTTAGGCCGAGATGGAGAAAGCATTCAAGAAAGTCGATGGACGTACCTATGCTTGGATGCAAGGGCACAGTAAGAGATGCCCACAGTGCAACATTCCAATCCAGGTAGGATTAGTCCAATTGTTGGCTTATCAGGCCTATTCCATCAGGGCAGAAGCACTCCACGGCGCCCTTTCGCCGCCGTTGACATGCGAAATTTACCGCGGAAATGCTAACTGGGTGACAGTAGGTCAGCTGTGGAGTAGAATCGAACTGTTATGGTTTTCGGGCACAATTCTTAACCGTAACACTGCAAAACCCCTCGCGTCTGTCTTAAGTTATTCAGTAATTTGCTTGTCACAGCTTACTAGCACATACGTGGTAATTAAGCCACATCGTTGGTACACACAGTGAATATTGGGAGCATGTCCGCGCCAGTTGTATGGGAGTCATGTAAAAACCACGTGAAAAGCCTTCTTGAGGAACCGAGTCGGCGCCGGAATGGATGGCGCTTCAGCCAAGGACGTAGAGAGCATATTCAAGCCGTGATAGGCTACGCCCACAGTGGGCGGAGCATGCGTCGTAGTGTGCGTTGTGGAGAGTGCAAGTTTGTAAGCGGTTCCATAGCAGTCCAGAAAGCGGGGGAAAAAAGCAAGGAGGTACAGCAGCGCCTGGCTATGAAATAAGGGATAGCGCAGGACAACCTGTAAGATGGGATCACAGGTGCAGACGCCGCGATATCGCGCCCCTAAGGGTATTGCTGTCAAGCGTATTACCCACAATGTGTTTTGATTCCTACAGCCTTCTGTTGCCATGTGCCAATCGAAATATATGCTGCGGTGGTGTACGGGTAACTTACTGCTATCCCTGACTCAGCGGAGATCTTAACCAGGTCGCCGCGCAGCTGGCCACGCGTGCGTCATGCTGCAAGTGCTTCCGGACTATTTTATTGCTAAGCACCCGGCGAAATCTTGATGCTATGATGGGATGATGGCGCTTCCGGATCTGTCGTGTTATTATCTCATCTAACTCTAGCTAATGCCAGGCCACGTTCCCTGATAACAGGGTGGGCAGGAGACGATAACACTAATGCATTCGTGTGATTGGTGCGATCTAATCTCAAAGCGGTATACATGGGCGAACAGCGCGCGGAACATGCCTTGATTGCCAACTATCATTTTTTAGCGGCAGTCTGGTTGTAACATGATGGTGTGCTCAATGTGTGACACACATTTCTGCTGGAACTGTGATGCGATTCTCGATGGTATTATGTATGGGCACTTCTCGGAATCACCGGTACGCCTTTATTGAGCCCCATTCCTTTACTTTTTATGTGGCTGGTCGATAGAAGAAAGTTTTCAGGACTGTCAAGGACAAGGACCGCAAATTCCACTTGGCGATTGATTATCACTGCTAAAGAATGATCAAACATGATTTGCTTCTTCAGCTGTGGCATATCTGGATGGTTTTCCCACTCCGAAAAAGATAACTAGGCGCTCAAAAGGTAATTGGAAGGATATCAGCCTAATGTATCAGCCGGGAAGCTGGCTATATGCTCATCTTTGAGGGAGATCCTAGATATACTTGTGATCCTAAGCTATTTGATCCTTTGAGATCCGTCCGTCCTCATTCTTTCGCCTAATCAATTGTACATATAGCCACTTGATTGTTAGATTGTCATTTATTGTTACTGCTTTATATGGCCTCTCATGGATCCTGCCCACTCACATGTCATACCCCTATCAGTGTGAAAAGAGCCTAGCTTCACTTTCCTTTGTCACGTAGTCTCTTCTCTGTGATAACTGCTTAATAGTTCTAGAGGTGAAGCGCAAGCTGTGTATATACACTCCTTATCCCTAAGCCAGAGTAGGCGTGGCATTTGAACATGCATGGCACGGAACTGGTT